GCCAGTATCCACGACTGCTTCAACTTCCCCTCCCACCCCTGTTCGGGTACTTGGAGCTTGGCTTGGAAGGTGAAGGGACGGATGGGTGGAACTGCCAGCGTGGCAGTGGAAGATTGGACCATGTGATGGACTTGTGGGTGTGGGGGAAAGATCATGAACTTTCAACTGGGTGGAAAACCCAGGAAGCTTTCAGATTCGGGTTTTCCACAGATTGTACCAACATGTCTCTCTTATTAAATTGGAACTTTGATGAAAGCTCTGCCTTGGACTCTGATTTAATTCTGGATGATATTTGGAACACTGACATCTCCTAAGCTTCAGTCAAGCCACTGCTTCCCCAAACTCCCTGTCCAAAGTGCTTTGGAAAAGGAAGCAAAAAGCACAAAAAAGACTGAAATATGAATTATGATAATATTATATAATAGAAGTGGCTTCCGATGCCGTCTTCATTTAAAAAACAAACCAACCCTGCCCACAGCAAATACGGAAGCTTACCCAGATCCTGCCCATGAGCTCTCTCATTTCCTTGCACATAGAGAAGGGAAAATCCATCATAGATCTGGCTGGTTCCTGGTGGGCAGAAGGGGGCATCGGTGGTTTGGCTGTGACGAGTGATCAGGAATCCATGGGCGACTGAACCTGGTCCTGGGAGTCCTGGAGGACCTTGCAATCCATCAGGGCCAGGAGGCCCCTGTGAACCACGCAGACCTGTGTGTGTGGGATGAACAAAGTCAATCACACCTCTCGACAGATGGACAGGTGCAAATCTGAAACCTCAGAACAGGGGTCAGCAACCTGAAGTTCTGGAGCCGCATGTGGCTCTTTCATCCCTCTGCTGCAGCTCCCTGCTGCCGGCGGGCGCAACAATTTTGAGAGGAGCTTCTGGTTGACACAAATTGTCCAGGACCAATTTTGGAGAGACATCACTTACAACCAGGATAGGAGACTTTGCTTCCTAACCTGACACAGCTGAAGTAAGACACTTTGTGACATTGGACTCTTTGCTTTGACACCATCCTGCCTTTTATCTGCTGGCAATGAAAGCTGAAGAAAAGCTTCCAAAGATTTTCATCTTCCTGGATATTCAGTTGAACGCCCCCCCGCCGCCCAAATGAGAATGTATCTCTGTCCCTTTTCATTGCTTGACACCCTCTTCTTCCCCCATTCCCATCAACAGAAATGATGCATTCACTTTACCTGGCTGGCCTGGGAGTCCTCTCTCCCCTTTACGTCCTGCTGGACCATCAGAACCAGGGGGACCATCACGTCCAGCATCACCAGGAAAACCAAATGAACCTATGGATATAGGTTAATTGCTTAATGAATTGGTTTAGATCGCTTGTAAAGACCCCCATCAAGATGACTTTAGTTGAATGTCAGAAGACATCTATCGAATGGCTTCCATCCATAATTGTCACCCGTCCAGAAAGAACTTACCTGGCAAACCTGGAGGCCCTGGAAGTCCAGATAGACCCTTCATTCCAGGCTGCCCTGAAGGACCAGGTGGCCCTTGATCACCTTTAACCACAACTGTTTGTCCAGGTGTACCAGGTATACCTGGAGGACCTAGGATAAAGAGAACATTGAGAAACCTAAATCATTTAGTCAGGTGGTCCTTTGGATGGTTCGTGAAAAAGGATGGAATAAAACAGGGTCAATATCTAGCATTATGAGATGCCACCAGCAGAAGATGGATTGGTCTCATCCTGGTCTCAAAACTGTTTATTCAGGCCGAGTTAGAGAAGAGGTTGGCTTATCTCTCCTAGCCTTTACATCCTGCTTGGTACTGATAAGGAAAAAGGATATATGATCTGATATATATATATAGCAAATATGCCCACAAAGAATTCCATCAATAATCAATTTTGTTTTATGGCATCCGAAAGGTTCCTAAGAGCAAAGAAGGCCAGCTGTTTACAGAAAAGACTTCTGAGTCAGAGCTAAAGTTGCTGCTATTGCTATTCTTATTCTACCAAACGATCTGCTTTCTATACACTTGACATCTGGAACAAAAGTTAGATATCAATGTTAGCTACCAATTATACTCGGCCAATACTAGGATTCGACTGATCTAGAGCAGGTCCAAGATTTGCATTTTCTCTGTTATATTAAGATTTTGTTGGTCTTGGAAGCGTTTATTTCTCCACTTTTTGAATCCTACCCATCATAAACAAAGAATGACATCTAGCATAACACCTACCGTGTTTTTAGGATTATAAGACGCACCTAAATTTAGAAGAGGGAAACAACAACAAAAAAGAGGTTTTTGGCCTCTGCAACCTCATTTTTGGCCCTTTTTTGGGGGGGCTTTTTCTGGCCCTTTTCCAGCCTTTTTTCTATCCATTTCTGAGGGTTTCTTGGCTCATTTGTAAGGTTTTTCTTGGCCTGATTTGGAGGGAGTTTTTGGCTCATTTTTAGCACGTTTTAAGGCTTTTTTGGTACATTTATTTTGGAAAAACAGGCTGAAAAAAGCCTCAAAACTGGCCCAAAAAAGCCTCAAAACTGGCCCCAAAAGCCTCAAAAACGGGCTGAAAAAAGCCTCAAAAACGGGCTGAAAAAAGCCTCAAAAATGCTTTCGAACTGCTAGGTTGGCAGAAGCTGTGACAAGTAACAGCAGCTCACTCCATTATGCAGTACTAGGGATTCGAACCACCGAACTGCCAACCTTTCTGATCAACAAGCTCAGCATCCTAGCCACTGAGCCACCGCATCCCACCATGTCCCAGATTCATTTAACCACCCTTTTACTAACTTAACTGTGATGATTCACTTAACAACTGTTAGAAGAAAAGTTGTAAAATGGGGCAAATTTCACTTAGAGGCTGCCTCACTTAGCAACATAAATTTGGGGCTCAATTGTGATTGTAAGTCAAGGACTATTTTCCTAAACACATTTGGACTATGTTAGTATCCCCCAAATTAAAGTTGTATTGGAGCAGAACTCTTTTAATCGCCATAGCTTTTGTCAACCCAAGGTAGCCAGTCAAAAGGTAAAAACTGACCTATGGCCTGCTCACTTTGTGAGTGGGAAGCTTATTGTACAACACTGCTTGCATTCAATCTAGAACAGACACCATGAAAATTGGATCTGGAATAAACTGTGGGATTATGAGACAACACTTCATGTACAGATTAAGCTAAAAGGATTTGGGAAGGATCTGCAATAAGAGGTGCTAAATGTTGAAATTCAGACACACCAATCAATGGCTTTGGAAGAATTGCTTTTGCTACATAGCAAAATCTTGCTTTGTTCGTTGTGAATTACAGTCAGGGAAGAAGAAGGGAACCAGCAGACTTGATTATTCACTTTTGTTGCTTAGATTTCACATCTGCATTTTAACAAGCACAATCCTTATCAAGCAGGAAGCAAATGAGTTGAAGGAGAGAGAGGGGGGGGAAGGGAGAGAAAGTGAAAGAGAGCTAGAAAGTGAAACAGAGAGAAAAAGACAGAGAAAGAGCTAGAAACAGAAAGAGAGAGAAAGTGAATGAAATAGAACTAGAAACAAAAGAGAGAGAAAGTGAATGAAATAGAATTAGACACTGAAAAAGAGAGAAAAAGACAGAGAAAGAGCTAGAGAGTAAAAGAGAGAGAGAAAGAGTAAAAGAGAACATGAATGAAAGATTATATATATATATATATTTATTGAGATTCCTGGCTTTTAAGAAGAATGTTGCCAGCTGCCATCTTTGCAAACCAGAATGCCTGTGGATAAAGGTAACCTTTTTGGTTTAAAAAATTAGTCCTGTGAGAAACGGTTGAAAGAATGGAGCATGTTTAGTCTGTAAGATGAGAAGGCTGGCAGAAACCAGGTGAACATTCTTCCAATGCTGGAAACTTGCCACTTTTCCCAGTGCACAAGGCTAAACCCAACAGCAACATTTGTGAAAAAGTAGATTCTGGATGAACTTCTCAAGAACTTCACCATCAAGCCCTTGAGTCAAATGTGGCTTGGAGGCTAATTTCATGTTAACAATTTTAACATTCTTATGGCTGAGATTAGTTCAGAGCTTTGTAAGTGTGATCTGGGGAAGAAGAAGATGCCAAAAAGAAGAAAACAGAGGTATTAAACAAAGACTGGGTGTTCCCATTCGGTCACCATAGGTCCCACTTCAGAAGATGATCTCTTCAAGAACATGCCCTTCAATCCTGAAAGAAGGTTGACATCTCCGTGACCCGACAAAAGCGCGAACGTGATAAGCGCGCCGA